CCCCACATACACACGCATATATGCGTCAGGTGCGCCTACGGTGCCGCACATGTTGCATATCGGCGCAAACGTCGGCGTGAGGCCCCATTCACATTTTGTTTGTCGCTTTGTTGCGCGATTTGCATTTTGCGCGATATTGCGCGATTTGTCGTGCAAATGCTTGCATTGAGCAAGCGAGAATTGCGGCAAAATCCGCTCCAAAAAGGGTCCTGCTGTAGCGACACACGACCCGCGACAGCAGGACCCTTTGCCCTATTGCAAAGCATTGAAGAGCGATACCGCGCGATAAATCGCTCAATGTGAACGGGGCCTGAGAGCAATAATTTTAGAGCCATTAAGGCAGGGTTCACACCTGGGCGTTTTACAGCGCTGATCGACGCGCTGTAAAACGCCCAGCAAGTGAAATCCCATTATTTCCTATGGGCATGGTTCTCACCTGGGCGTATTTCAGCGTGTCGGAACGTCCTGAAAACGCCCTACGCCCAAAGAAGTACAGGAGCTTCTTTGGGGCGTATTTCCGTGCGTATCCATTAGGATACAGCCGGATAGCCCTCGTAAACGCGCGTTTGACGCACGTTTTGTGGGCTGCAAATCGTGGTTAAAACATGCACCCCAAAACGTGCATCATGCACGCATATTTCAAAAATATATATACACACAGTGTATATACATACATACATATATACAAACTCTAAATACTCTTTTTTTTAAGAATATATTTTTATTTAATTTACAAAAACAATTTCCACATTTAAAACATGATATTAGGTTTCATCTAAATACAACAACAAGATCGTATAATTATTACTCATACATATCTTTGTTCCATTATCTTTAAAATGAAAATACCATCATAACCACCTCACCACCCTCCTTTCATCTTCATTGTCCTCTTTCCCCCACTCATTCAAAAAAAAAGAAGGGGGAGGAAGTAAATGATTACTATATAATCCCTATAAATATTCTTGTATCTCTGCTGAGCCTAGGAAGGCCATCATAGGTTTCCACTCTTCCACAAATATTAGATATCTATCATGTAAACGGGCAGTCGCATTGTATGGTTCAATTCCACTACCCATTCCCGGATTTGGGGAATATTAGAAGATCTCCAGTGTCTCTTAATTATCGCCCCTTGCTGCTGCCAATATGGGGCATGCCAATCCGTCCTTAATTCTTTATACTAATCCCGGAAGTATTGACAATAATGCCACATCTGGGGTCTCAGGTAAGCATGAGCCCATAACTCGACCCGCTATCTAAATTATTCTCCAGTAGGACTTTATCCTCTGACATTTATTTTATGTACTATTTTCGGCACCTCTACCACCTAACTACTACTTTATAGTTCCTCTCCTGTATTTTAGCCAATATACTCAATTTAAAAGTTAAATAAAAGGCTTTATTCCATTCCTCTTCTCCCAAAGAAAGTCCCAGCTCCCAATCCCATTCTCTAATGTAATAAGGTGAGGACGGATACATTAGATCTAACAATATATTATATATTCTTGACACCATATGTTTGCCTCCTACTTTGTTTAATATAAGTTTTTCAATTGGAGTCCCTTCCCTAAATACAGAGCCTTGTGAGCACAGGTACTGATAAAAATGTTTGAGCTGAAAATATTCTAACCATTTACCTTGATTCGTTACTCCCGGGGGGAGGAGGTCAATCAAAGGAAGCACTCTCGCTGCATTCACGGCTCGTATTATCGGGGAGTGCCTAAAGGCCTCCCATTGCAGAAATTCTCCGCTCCCAAGGCCCTGCGGGAAATCTTGATTACCCAGAATGGGTGTCAGTGGGCCCACATACGATGATATACAGTACCATTCTTCACAACCATTACATCCCATATGGTCAATACTGATGCAATCAGAATCGACTGAGTCCAGTTTCGGGGCCGTTAATCCGGTCTTATCCATTATATCTACGTCAGAGGTATGGAAACCTCTGCTTGTTCTATGGTTACCCAAAGTTTGGGCCGTTTAACATTAAACCAGTCTACCATTCTACTCAGGGTCATTGCTTTATGATACATCTCCATATATGGGAGACCTCCTCCCCCACTAGATTTCCTTTTAACTAAAATATCATGTCTCAAGCGTACTCCAGATGAACCCCATATGTATTGCAACAAAAGAGTTTGTAATTTAAGAAAGTATACCCAAGGGATCTTTTTTGGGACCATCTGAAGTATATAAAGGAATCTTGGGAGGATATCCATCTTAAATAATGGCATCCTCCCTATACATGAGTGCTTACTCTAACTCCAAACCTCCATCCATGTTTGTGTTGCCTCTAGGAGGGGTGTATAGTTAAGGCCATATAGCTTCCTTAACTATGGGGTTATTATTACACCTAAATAGCTAATTGCTTCTGAGGTCCAAGCAAATGGGAAACTAGAGCTTAAAATACCCTTCTAAATACTCTTATTAATAATTGTTAGTACTTTAACCCCATAAGGACCCTTTTGCTGCCCTCAATCTCTTTTTCTGCATCCCCTGTTATAAATGAACAGGAATCCTCTATACTGAGTGCTCCTGTTCATTCGTAACTTGTTGAGATAGTATGTTTACCATGTCCACAATCATGAATGAACAGGAAGTGATGTAGATCACCTCCTATTCATTTATAATTGGGGACACAGTAAACATACTATATTCTCAATTATGTACAAGCACTTGTCACAGGAGGCTGGTACAGGGAGGAGAGTTCGATCTCTGACAACTGACTCCTCCCCTACACCGCCGGCCCGGCCTCTTGTGATAGCTAAAAGATGTGGATCCGCGCTTTATGGATAGCCCTGATTTAATATCCTGATACCAAAGCAGCTGCGCTCTCAACCCTGGGGTCCAAATAGATAAAGTGTGTAAATGTGCAGCGCTAAAAATTAAAGTGCATAATATATATAAAAAATGTAAATATATAAATATATATAGTTAAATATATAAATATATATAAATTAGATAATAAGACAAATCTATAATATACAGTGTATAACAATTTAAATCCTTATAAATACAGTGTGTCCACAGTGTTAAAT